TAGTATGTACACACACTAGCAATGAAGTAGTACAGAAGGCTTTTGAAAAAGTTTTGGAAAGCTGTGTGCACACCTTCCCCTATTTCCTGAGGCAAGCTCACTTAGATGTTAATCCTTGATACTAATAAGCAGACTACTAGGGCACTCCAGGCTGATCTGATAACAGGAGAAAAGGGGGTTGTGTCCAGTAGACAACAATCAAGTTTCCCTGATCCCTTTCTGTGCTGGTGTTTCCTGCATTCCATTCCCCCAGAGGGGCCAAGCATGTTAAGTCTGTTTGCCAGAGAGACCATCTTACAGTGGTTGTGTAACCATGGGGTCAAAGCAGGTCTTTTTTGCACCACTTTCAGAATGATACGCCTGGGAAATCCAAGGAATTATGAGTTATGAGGGGGGTTGTTGTGAATGAGATCCGACTCCACGGCAGTGAGTTTGGTTTGGTTTTTGGTTTTGGTTGAAATAGGTTGTGGTGGTTCTTATAAACATGCAGCAATCTAACTTCTGTTAGGATTTGTGAATCCCATCTTGGTTTGGAGCACAGTTGTATTCTGACATGTGAAGTAGTCATGAGTTAGAACTGACGGTGACTGGTTCTTGGTTTGCAGCTTGCTATCTGTCATAAGCAGCCCCTTCCATTTTTCTCCTCTTGAACTTTTAATGGAGTATAATTTAGCTACTTCTAGAAAAGAACGCAAGTGACTTGTCTCCTTTTTGAGGTTAACATTTTGGCGAGCCTCTGGGTAGAAGAAAGCTTGCAGGAGGCCTGGGATATTTTCCAAATAGAAGGTTATTTTCAGAGAATGAATTATGGGGCATCGGTACAATGAAGGAAGAGAGCTGTTGAGTGCCTACTTTTGTCAGTGCTTTACACATTTTCAGAAGGGTTAGTAATTTAATGTAGGTAGTAAAGCTGGAATTGAAACCTGAGACTGTCAGCCTTGCAACCTAGCTATGAAATGGAAAAAACACTGTCCAGGGTGGAGGGGTTTTAACCTGGTCCTTCTGGCTGACTGTTTTCATAACTGGCTATATCAGGTCATCATAGCTTGCTCCTTGTCATGCTCACCAACCAACCTTCTGGTTATAATGTGTTTTCCTGCATACATTTATGCGTAGGGAACAAATACAAGTAGCCAGTTTGCATTATATGCTAATAAATTGGTATGACTGACTTGTGGGTAGTGAGATCTTAGTTCAAATGCTTCTGCTTAGTGAAGCTGACCCTGGGTATCTGCTTGTATAATTTCTTTTAGAAAGATTAGCACAAGGCCAGTCCCTATGAGGTGGAGATTAAAGATGTCCCAAATATCCAGCTTTTCCCAACTGCTGTGCCACTCCACCATCTCTGACATCAATTCCTCCTCCTCCCCTCAATCTCTCTCCTGTTGTGTGGTTCTGTAGTTTGCTGTAATGTCTTACAGAACTCACAAACTCCCAAGGAAGTGGCTCATGTTGGGGTAGTGGAAGCTGGGAGGCTGGGAGGCTGGCAGGCTAGCAAATGTCAGGCCTGTGGGTAGGTCTGGAGGACTCTCCCAACTCACGTGGCTGCAGGGGCTGGTGAACCCAAACCAGTGGGTCAGGTGACAGATGCTGTCTCAAGTCCAGCAGTGAGATGACGATGAACAAAAGACAGGAACGGGACAAGAGAGCAAACTTTCCTAGAACATTCACATATATACCCTCAAGGAAACTAAGATTAGTGACTTGAGTCATATATTTTAGCAAGCTGAGACTCAAGATACATCTAAACAGGCATAGATACTAGGATTTACAATACATCACAAGATGGAGGACAATGGCTAGAAGGGCCATATTGAGCAATTCACTGCACTGCAGTACCTAATTCAAACTCACCCTCAGCCACCCTCCACACGTGACAAGATCATTCTCTCTATGTGGACATCTGCTTTGCTTTCATAATACCATTTATCATCACCTGAAGTTATCTGCACGTTTATTTACTTGTTTTCATCTGTCTTCCACCCTAGAATGATGTTCTTAGCAGCAGGGATAGTGCCTGTCTGGTTCATTCATGTAGCCTCTATGTCTTACATAGCACCTAGTACCTGTTCTTGTTGATTGAGTAAGTGAATGTAATGCCATTATAGAATTGAAAGTGCAGTTGTCGAATTTGGTGACTGATAACTTACTCAAATGATGGCTATAACCATGGACAGCACCTTTAGCCTGAGCCCCCAAACTGTAATCAAGCTGTTTGGCCTGTTAACTCAGTGATCTTTAAACGATTACTTTCTCACCCCCTTAACATAGTGAGAATCTGTATAGTCCCTTTTACGTGTTTTAAATTGACATCTAAATTTTTTTATTCAAGTTTTAAAACTCTGGATTTTTGTTTTTTTAAAAAATTGAAAATAATATTTAAATAAGAGGAAATGAGTGACACAAATACCCCTTGGAAAATCTTGTGTTAAGCTAAATACTTATCTTCCCTAATTATTATACTGTTGGGGAAGAAGAGAAAAAGCCAAGATGGTAAGAAAGATGCAGGGGGTGGGGGGAGAATGGGGTTCTCATTCTCAATGGGAAAGACGATCCACAGAGGAAAAGCAGAGAATCTAGGGAAATTGAGGCAGGACAGGTGGTTATGAGCAGTTGAGGTGTACTGTGAGTTTTTAAAAAAGAGGTGAGGGGATAGAGGAATGAAGAAGAGTAAGACTCAACGATTTAGTCAGAAGGTTTGAGAGGTTTTATGATTTTCCTTCTGTTGGAGACCAGGGAACTTATAGCACTCTGTCTTTGCATCCCTTTGAATCCCACACAAGAAGCTAAATGAATAGGGAGGATGGTTTCTGTTTTGCCAAGTAAGGGCGTGATGGTTTGTTTGGGTTTGAAATTCAACCTGAACTCCTGGGTTAAGGTATTTACTCGGATGTTCCTTTACTTTTTTTTTTTTTTCCCCTCCTGAAGGTGTTTAATTCCAAAGGAGATTTGTTCATAAGATTAATATAGATAGAATCCCTCATTTGATAGCCAGTGTCCTTGGCTCCCTGGCATTATTCCAACAAAAAATGTATGTGCACAGCTGAGTGTGTATGCACGTGCCCCTGTCCCTGAGCATGTTTTAATGGTCTTGGGAGCAGTGGCATGGTGGGGATATCCATTAAACCAGGGGGAAAGAACTGTTGCTTTGGGAAGAGGATCGATGGAGTGGATTATCGTTTCCAGGTACAAGTGAGAAAGCTTCAGCAGTCACTGTCACTTTTCTCATGTGTCAGCTGCCAGAATGGACCCTGCACACAATAGGGCTTGTCTTATGTCCCTGTTGGTTTTCAGGGAGACCCTCATCTCTCTGCTTTCCTCTTAGGACATACGCAAGCCCATTGGTTCTAGTCGTGTGTGCATCACTGCTGGCTCATCCTGGGCAGTGAAATGTTTCTGTTTTCTAGGAACTTGTTTGCTTCAAGGTCACTGGAAGCTGAGGGAATATTGGCCCAGAGATTTTTGTGGTGCCTGAGTGTCTCCTGATAGCTTTTCTACCTCTTCCCCACTGCATGATCTGAAACTATTAGGAAAGAAACAAAGCAAAGCCCTCTGTCTGTTATAGTTTCTTCTTCCTTACCCACAGCCTGCTGTCTAGGAAGCAGTTCCCAGAATAGCACAGTGGGTGTTTGGACATGTGACCTCTGTTTGGTCAACAGGCTGTGCATGGGCTTGTGTTGAGATGCCCAGCAGCTTCCTCCTCTAAACCTTGCAGGAGGCAAGGCCCTGTCAGCAGTGATGCTGGTGGTTTTCCTCCCTCCCCCATTCTGGCACTCACCAGCGTCACGTGTCAGAGCCTCTGTCTTAATCTAGCACCTGACCAGATCTGGAGTAGAGCTTTAATAGCTGTCCCTGCTGCCTGTGTGGCCTCCGCCTGTGAAGCAATTTTGCGTAGCTGATAAGGAGACCTTGGCCCATCTCTGCAGCCAGTGAGCTCTGCATTACAGCACAGCAGCTCTGCCAGGGTTGGGAGTTGGCAGGCAGCGGGTGGGTCTCTTGCTTCCAGTGGGAGGACACTGGCTCACTCTTGTTACTAGGATGTGGGAATCGCCTGTGCGTCTCAGGAGCAAGATGACAGCCAAGAAAATACTGTGCCATAGATTTCCAGAACAGAGATCTTTTTAAAACCCAGTGAAAACCTCCTTTCTTGGCATTTTGTCTTAATGAGATTCTCAGGCCTGTAGTTCAGTAGCTGAAGGGGAAAAATCCACAAGCAAAAGCCACTGGGTTTCCCAGAGATGAATGGTGGAGCCGGGCCCCCTGCCTAAGCCTTAGTAACTGTGGACGTCTGGTGCCCTCTGACCTGCCTTTCATTTGGCATGGCCCCGGCATCAATCAAAACTTGGCAGCAGAGAACAGCATGAGATTCTCAGGGATGGAGGAACTTATCTGTCAGCTTTCACAGGGGGCCAGAATTTTGGGTCTCTGGTCTCCTTTCTTTTGATAAGTACTTACTCTTTAAAGTTGTCTTCTTTTGAAAATTTATTTTTATAGAAAGTCCACCTACACCTGTTGTGTGGAGGTTAGGAAATTGATGATTGGCTTCTCTCTGTATTTTGGCCTTGCCTCCCATGTCCCATTCATACCTGGCACCTCAGTTTACATTGCATTTGGAAACCACCTCTTCCTACTGCTAGCCTCACTTTCATTGGTGAGTCTTTTTCTTACACCCATAAGGAGTGTTCTTCCACTGTAGTGTTAGTAACAAGATTCCCTGGCTGGGTCCAGGGCACTTGAATATCAGGTTGGGAATTTGGGATTAGGACTCAGACTCCATGCCAAACATAATCTGAAACTGAGAGTTAACTGCAAGATGTGACTAAGAGACCCTGGCTACCAGGGGGCCCTAGTCCCAGTTGAGTCTGAAATTCTGAGGACTTTGAGATGGGGAAGGAAATAAGGCTGCTTCTGTGAAATTCTTAAAAGTTTGTTTTTGGGTATAGAACTCGGTTCACCAACATTTGCCCCTTTGTTGACACCTTCTTCATTGCTTTTTCTAGCCTGTGGGCCGAAGCTGACCAACTCCCCCACAGTGATTGTCATGGTTGGCCTCCCAGCCCGGGGGAAGACTTACATCTCAAAGAAGTTGACACGCTACCTCAACTGGATTGGCGTCCCAACAAAAGGTAAAGCTGTGTTCCAAGGCTAGGTAGATCCACTGAGCGCTCTGCTTTCCAAACTTCCTCAGCTGAAAAAAATAATCATCTTCCATTTCTAGTTGCTGGTACTGACGGTGCAGAACCACTCTTTGGCTGGTCTGTCTCCCTGTTTGGAGTCTGATCCCACCTCTCTTTCCAGCTGTGTCATCTATCACTGCTGCCTGCAAACATGCTCTGACTTTTATGTTGGAACCTTATTCTCACAGCCACTCTCCTCTTTCCTGCTCTTCCTGCATCCTACTCAACTGAGGTTTCACTTCTTTCTTGAAACACCCTCTGACCATCTCAGTCTATGCAGATCTTTCTCATTTAAACTCTAATAGCACTTAATTGTAACATTTCTCTACTCACTGTCATAAAGTACTCCATACTGTTGATGATTAACTATGGCTCTTTGTCTAGTCTTCCCTAACCAGATGGGAAATGTCTTTTTATTGTTATTATATTTATTGTGATTTGTGTGAAAGGTTACAGAGTAAATTCATTTTCCGTACAGCAATTCATACACATTTTGTTTCATGACATTGACTGAGAACCCCACAATGTAACAGTTCTCTTCCTCCCTGTAGTTACCTTTTCTCTGTGTCCTTTTATCCTATGCATTCCTGCTGTCCAAGCTATTTCCCTGTGCAAACACTCCCCTTCTGTTCTTCCATGATTGATTGTACTAAGGAGTGTTATCTATCTGGTGTAAATGTTCACCCTATATGCCTGTCTGTTGTTTGGCTGAAAGCCATGGGAGTGAGTTCGGTTCCAGGCCTGAAGGGTAACTAGGGGCCATCATTTGGGGGTCTCACCAGGCTTCATCAGATCAGTAAACCTGGTCTTTTTTTTTTTTTTTTTATGATTTTGAGTTCTGTTTCACATTGTTCTCCTACTCCAACCAGGATCTCCTG